CTCCGCCTTATCCACATTATCATCACACCTAGTCGCAGCAGGTATATTGATGCGCTCCGGGGTCCTCCTGTTACTGGCCGCCTTCCTGCGATGTCGCCGATCTTGGTTAGCTGCCCATTTGATGTTCACCTCCCTGACGCACGAGATGAAGTGGAGCATGGACAGCACGAACGTCGGCCCCACGATGCCGGCCTCAGGCTGTGAGAGTTTGGGCTTCACCTGGCTTTCCAAGACGGCAAGGCGGCCACAAGAGAGCGCGCGCAAGCGCAGGTTTGCAATCCTTGGTTTGTTTGCAATCCTTTGTTTTTTGTTTTTTGCATTTTTTTGTTTTTTTTGTTTTTGTTTCGTTTTTTTGTGTTTTGTTTGTTTGCAATCTCGGGTTTTGTTTTGTTTTTTTGTTGTTGTTTTTTTGTTGTTTTGGTTTTGTTTGCAATCGTTGGTTTTTTTTGTTTGCAATCCTTCGAAAAAGATATCGGACGTTGCGATTATGTTGCGACGCGGGCCAGGAAGCTCTCGGCTCCGTCCCCAGGACTGGTTGCTCCCCTCGCGCTGCCTCCGCTGATGGCCCCGGGAGCCCGCGAAACGTGCCTTCCCTGAGGTCCGACACCACGAGAGAACTCCAACGTCATAGGAAATCCGCCGACCCCTTGGGGATCATCGGCGTGTGAGATGCTTCCACCTCCCCAAAACCCTCCCCCCGGAGCCCGGTCCGGTAGAATTGGAGGGGGGGGCCGTCCGGCCAAAGCTCACCAGGGGGGTCTGGCCCTTCCCGGGCTCCTTTTGGAGGTCCACGACAGCTTCTGGGGCCGCCCAAGAGGCCCCCAAGACGGTCCAAGAGGGTCCCGAGACGCCGAAAGACTGTTCCAGGACGCCAAACTTGGACCATTTTTCCACCTTCACAGCGCGGAAGCCCTTCCAAGATGCATCCAAGACCGCCCTAAGACGGCCCCATAGGCTCCCCAGAAGCCCCCAACACGGCACAAGAGGCGCCCAAAACGACCCAAAAGGGCTCCAAGACGGCCCCAAGAGGGGCCCGAAAGAGGGACTACGAAACGAACATTCCAGCCGTCCGCCCTTAGAGGCCCCCAGGAGGCTACAAGAGGCTCCAAAAATGTCTCCAGACGCCCCCAAAAGGCCCCCAAGAGGCCCCAAGAGGCTCCTCAGAGGCCTCCAAAAGGCCCCAAGGGGCCCCAAGAGGCCCTCCAATCGGCTTCGATATACTATGGTTCGGCCTTCACAGCGCGGAAGACCCTCCAAGATGCCTCCAAGACCGCCCTAAGACGGCCCCATAGGCTCCCAAACCGGAACGGACACTTCGAACCTCCGGCTCCAAGACGCCCCCAACGTGCCCCAGGGACCCCCAGGAAGCCCTCGAGAAAAACAAAGGGGTCGGCGGTGTGGCGTAAGCCTAAGAATCACGACCAGAACTTCAGACCAAATCTTTCTGCTGCATGTTCCGGATCGACCCGCGAGGGTCCTGGGGACCGAAAGAGGGCGACACATCGCTGGGTTGGATAAAACTGCGATGCCAGGGTCTCATGGCTCAGAGGCTCGCGGCTCGGAAAGACTGGCCGCCACGATCTGTCCGAGCACTCGCGCCTAGCCAGCCCGGAGAGGCGCGATGGGCCGCATGGCACGCCCTGCCAGCAGTGTCGGCCGAGCGAGGTGCCCCGCCAGGCACAGCAGGCAGCCGCGCAGGGGCACCTGTCGGGGAGACGTAAGACCCGGGTACGGGGGACTCGGAAATCCCCGACGAGGTCGTCAAAAAAATAACGAGGCCGAGCCTGCATTTTGACGAGGCCTCCCGCTGCAGACATCCCACAAAACTCCTCCTCGTCAAAATCCGAATCGCGGTCGTCAAAAAACGATGGCGAACCCGAGTCCTGGCAAACCCGGGTCTTACGCTCCCCCGAACCTGGCGCACCGAGCGCGGCCGCTGGCCCGTGGGCGCGCGCCCGGCACTCCGTCGCAAAGCACGCGGGAGCGGTGCCGAGCGTGCGCCGAGCGCACACGCGAGCAGAGGCTGGAGGCATTGGCGGGTCGTCGTCGAACAGTTTTCCACCCACACATGCCCACGCTGATGGGCCAGTTTTCCACCACCACTACCACGGGTAGGAGAGGGAGGAGGAGGAGGAGGAGGAGGAGGAGGAGGAGGAGGAGGAGGAGGAGGAGGAGGAGGAGGAGAAGGATATCAGGAGGATACAGAGGAATCAGAGGTGGGAGGAGGAGGAGGAGGAGGAGGAGGAGGAGGAGGGAGGAGGAGGCATCGCTGTCCTCTCGCAGGCCATCGGCAGGGGGAGGAGAGGAGGTGGCGTCGAGGATATGCTGGATGCGTTGTCCATCCTCGCAGGGCATCGGCGGGGAGGGAGGAGGGGGAGCGGAGGGGCTAGGAGAGGAGGAGGGGCGGCGGAGACCAGGGGAAGAGGGTGGCAGGGGTAGCCAGGGGGGCAGCGGGGACCACGACGACCACCTCCCAGAAACGTGCACGCGGCCCTTGTCCCAGCCGATGCTGCTGCTGCTGCTGCTGCTGCTGCTGCTGCTGCTGCTGCTGCTCCTCCTCCTCCTCCTCCTCCTCCTCTCCTCCCCTCCTCCTCCTCCTCCTCCTCCTCCTCCTCCCCCCCTCCTCCTCCTCCCCTCCTCCTCCTCCTCCTCCTCCTCCTCCTCCTCCTCCTCCTCCTCCTCCTCATCATCATCATCATCATCATCATCATCATCATCATCATCATCGACCCCTCGAACCCCGTCGAAGCCATAGAATCCGACCAGCCCTCTGGGCGTTGGTGGTTTGACGAGTTCCGCCTTCTCGCTGCCAAAGCTCCCTCCTTCCCCTGCTCGGGGGAGGGGGGTACCCCCTCCCCCTGCTCCGGTCCCTGGGCCTGAAGGGGGCGCTCCGCGAGGGGTTAGAGCACCCTCGATGGCCCAAGACGGCTCCAAGAAGGCCTCTGGGAGCGCACGATGGTATCCAAGATTGTTCCAGGTAGCCCAAGATGGATCAAGGTAACCTCGGGTACACATCCAAGAGACCTCCAAGGACCTCCCCGAGAAGCCAAAATAGCTCATCACCTCATGAAAACCACTTGGCTTTTAAACCTCCACATGGCCTCAAAATGGCCCACGAAGGCCACAAACATGCCCAAAGAACGCCCCCTGAGGGCCAAGAGGGGCCCAAGAGGGGCCCATGAGGGGCACAAAAAAGCCTGAAGAGCCCCCAAGAACGCCCCAAGAGCGCCCCATGAGGACCTCAAGGCGCAAGTGGTGAGCCTCCCAGAGGAGGGGGGGGGCTGAATTTTCGACCCTCTCACTTTTGGAGTCATCGGGCCAAGATGGCCCCAAGAGGCCTCCCAGACCTCCCCCAACGAGCCCCAAAATGGCCCCAAGAAGGCCCCAAGAGTCCAAGAGAGCCGCAAGAGGGCCTTCAGAATGCCCCAAGAGGATCCGCGATGACCCCAAGAGAGCCCCAAGATGGTTCCGAGAGACCTCCGAGAAAACACTTCGAAAGCGGCTGTTACACTGCATTCTTCGACACTTCCCTGATCAAGGCAACGCGCCTGGCGATCTGCTTCTGGATGGGCTCGTGGGGAGAATTACTTCTTCTTTTTTTGTCGCGGGCAGACGTGTGAAGCAGTCGCCGAGAGGGGGTCCGGGGCACGGGCCAGCATAATTAGCTACTGAGCGACGCGCAAGCCGGCCGGGCCAGCACTGAGAAGCGGCGGCTGAGGGGCTGCTGCTGGTGGAACTGGCTGGCTGGTCTGCAACGCCCAGGGAAGCTGATGCAGCTTGCAGGCCTGAGGCAGAGGTGCGAGAGGTGGAATTAGGAACTGCACGCCAGAAACGCCTGTCCAGCACTGTGCAGACGGCCACGCATCGAACTGGCGAGGGTGCTGCCGCTGAGGGTAAACCAGAAAGCGGTGCGCCACCAGGAACGGAGAGCTGGACGAACGCGATCGAGCACAGGCACTGTGGCCAGGAGTGACCAGGTACAGACTGACCATGTCGCCGCAAGGCGCCAAGGGCCAGGGCCGCGGCAGCGGCTCAGAACATGCCAAGTAGGCGGGGACGAGGCGCAGGGGAAGCACGGTGTCTGCTGGAAAGCTGCACCACTCCGCGACACATCACGTATACCCTGAGGACGACGCCAGTCCCGAGCAGCAAGGCGGGTATGGACCAGGCCCCTGGGGGCGACTGCACCAGGGAGCCCGGCCAGGGGTCACGTCGTAGACGCCGCTTGGAGGACCGCGTATTGCGCGGGGGGGCGGGCCAGACTGGCGGGAAAGGACATCGCCAGTTCGGCGGGAGAGAGGCGGACACCAGGAGACTCCAGCGCCAGGGGGCGGCTGACCACACAACGATGCGAGGCGCGGGGTCATGTGGCAACTGGCCGCCCTGCCCGTGTGGGTCCCTCGCTTGGCGTGGGCGGTGGGTACTGACATCACCTGCCGGCCAGGTTGAGGGGGGCCCACAGGGAACGCCCAGTGCCAGGGGACGGCCGGTGGCCATACGAGCTTGAGAGCGATAGCCAGCGAGAACGCGTGGCCGAGGGCAGTCCCGTCCTTGTGTGTATGGGGACGAATGGCAGGGCCATCCCGTCCGTAGAAGAGAGGAAGAGGAGAGAGGCAGAGAGACAGGGAGCGGCTCAGAACTACGCGAAGCGCCCACAATTGAATAGAAACCACCGAAATCGCTGGAGCCGTTCTATCTCCTCCTGAGTAGCGTAGTGGAGCATAAGGACGGAAAAAAGGTCTAGCTCTGCTGCTGGGGCCCTGACAGGGAAAGGAGGGTCGAGCGCACGGCCCAGCAGCCGCCCCCGACTCTGGTCTGGACAGGCATCCCTCCTTGGAGAAATGAGCCCCCCTCGCAAGCCTCTGTCCAGAGCTTTCTTGCCTGCAGCTGCTGGTAGCCCACAGGACCTCCCCAGGACGGAAAAGCACCGATGCTCCTCCTCTTCCTCCAACTCCTCCTCCTCCACCTCCTCCTCCTCCTCCTCCTCCTCCTCCTCCTCCTCCTCCTGCTGAAACCTCCTCCTCCATCCTCCTCCTCCTCCTCCTCCTCCTCCTCCTCCTCCTCCTCCTCCTCCTCCTCCTCCTCCTCCATCCCCTCTTCCTCCTCCTCCTCCTCCTCCTCCTCCTTCCTCCTCCTCCTCCTCCTCCTCCTCCTCCTCCTCCTCCATCTCCTCCTCCTCCTCCTCCTCCTCCTCCTCCTCCTCCGTCTTCCTCCTCATCCTCTCCTCCTCCTCCTGCTCCTGCTCCTCCTCCTCCTCCTCCTCCTCCTCCTCCTCCTCCTCCTGCTCCTGCTCCTCCTGCTCCTCCCCGGAGCCGCCAAGGGGTGAACCCCCAGTCGTGGCGTGGGGATGCTTTCGAACGCAATTGCGGGGACGCTCGGCGCGCGGGATGGGGCGAGTGCGCTGGCCCACGCTGCGGCGTCCACCGCACCCGTGGACGCAGCCCAGTGCAAAGAAGAAAAGGGTGACGGTGGCCAACGGCGGGCGCGCACGCCCCATATCGCTGCGCCGGGAGCCGGAAGGAGAAGCCCGGGCAATGGAATCTCGGCCCGCCCCGAGGGACGGCGGTGCAGCACTGCCCAGCCAGAGAACCCCAGCTGGGGGGCCGGGATGCGCGAAAGGCGAGAGAGAGAGAGAGACAGAGACAGAGACAGAGAGCAGAGCACAGCAGAGCAAAGCAACCCGACGTCGGCACCCCTACGGGGAGCGGTCCCCTGCGAGAGGGAGCGCAGTGGAACCCGACCTGGCATCCTCGGCTGCAAGAGCTGGGGTCGGGCCTCAACAGTGCTCCTCCAGCGCGGAGGTCGGGTTCACTCGCACGCGCAGGCGTGCACGATCCGGTCCGCTCTGATCCTCCCGCCTTCCCCCCCTCGCCGGGGGGGAGGGGAATCGAGGCAGAACATCCGCATGATCATAAACATTGACGGTCCGTGCGGGGTTCTTGGACCTGCGCTGGGCACCCCCCCTTGCGCGCGGAGCGCGCCGGGTGCGGCGCCACAGGCGCCGCCAGCAGGGCAGAAACCCGCGCGGAGCTCAAAAAGTTGATGTGCATGCTGTATGCCGCTGTTTCTTCTCAAATTCGCACAGGGAAACGGACCCTTGTGTATACGGGATCCTGGTGTATACATTGTTCGTTGTTTCCCCGGGAAAGCGGGGGAACAAGTATACACCAGACCAGCCCGACGTCGTCCCCGACCCTCGAAAAGTCGCAGGATTAAAAAACGGCCCGCCACTGGTCATGTATTCGTTCCAGTTTCCGAGTGGAGGCCAAGCAAATATCTGCCTTACCACTGTGCTGCTTGCGCTTTCCCGGGGAGGAGCTCCGGAGACTCCTCGGGCAGGGGAGCCAGCGACGACTGCTCTCCGACGGGCCTGCCACAGGGCCACGGTGCAGCTCAGAAGCCGCCTCGAGGCGGTGGTTCTGCTCACCTCTGGGACGGGATCCACAGACAAATCGTCTGACAAAAACAAAGTCGGGCGTGTCCCCCCACAGGGGGAGTTGGGGCGACACATTTAAAAATACCCACGAAGTATCAAAAAAAACTGAATAATTGTCAAAAATAATTCCCATACGATTTGTGGACTATTCTTGAATATTACCGCTGTAGAGGGAACGGCCCGACTTAAAACAAAAACAATGAGTTCCTTTCCAAACTTCTCAACTGAAACGTGCCGACCTGCGTTGAGCGATATGCGAATTCAACTCTGACACCACCGCCCGCCCCGAGCCCTGGCTCTCGCGTTGACGCTGGCCGCGCGCCGCGTGCAGCGCAGACGGACTACACGTTAATCTTTGGTGAGCCACTATTTTGTTGCGCGCGCAGGCGCTTCATCCCCCAGCGCGCGTGCCAGCGGTGCGTGCCGGGCTCGCCTCTCGCCGCTGGCACGCGCGCGGGGTGGATGACGCGCGCTCGCGCTTCGCACGCAGCGGAGGCGCGCGCGCATCTTCAAAGCTCGCCAATCCCGCCGCGCGCCACGCGCGCGCGCGAAGGTGCCAGCGCGCGCGGGGAATCCCAGCGCGGGCGCGAGCCTTCTGGGCGCAAGGAACGCGCGACGCCAAATCGCCGGAAAAAAACGCGTGACAAATTTGCCCCGTGGCCCACATTCCCTGTGAATGTGCAATGCGCACGGCGCTTCCACAACTTTTGTTGCAAGCATTCCAAAAGCATTTTGTTGCCGCCACTTCAGATTTTGTCGCGGCTCTGGACCGCTGGCGGATTTTGTCGTCGTCCGCCTTGTTTGCTTGTCGCTGGCAGTTGTTACGTTTGTCGTTTGAATTTGTCGTCGGCCTCCTGCATTTCTGTCGTCGGTTTTTTTTGTTTGTCGCTGGCCTTTTTGTTCGTCAGTCCTTTTCTGGTCGTCGTTTATTGTTTGTGGTGCCCTTCAAGGTCGGATTCAGAGTTTTACTCCGGCCCTTCAGCATGTTTGGGTGCCTTCGCGGCCGGATCCATCTTCCATACCTTTTCACATTCCGCGCCTGGAAACGATACCCAGGCCCATCATCTTATCATCCGATCTGGAAACGATACCCAGGCCCAGACATTGCCCACGGAAATTCGATGTTTGGTCCTCGCCCACCCCCTTGAGAGACCGCGCACAACCGCCGGGGGGCTCAACGCTAACATCGTTTGAAACGCGTAACGAACGACGCGACCTGATTCATGAAAACAAGTGAATGTAATCCAACATGTGTTGTCGTTCGTCGCTTTGTGATCCCATCCCCCAGGCGGCGCCTGAGGCGCCGCCCCTGGCGCGCTCCGCGCGCGATCCCCCCTCCCCCCCTGGCGCGCGGAGCGCGCCAGGGGCGGCACCTCAGACGCCGCCAGGGGGTCCTAGCGCCGACCCAAGGAATCCTTGCGTACCTCCGAAAGCTTGCGCTCACGCAGCTTTCCTCCCTCTATAGAAGTCCCCCCAAAACCGTCCCGTGAACAGCCCCCTGCGGCGCGAAGGCTTAGAGAGCTTCTCAAAGGCCGGTGGCCTTCTGAGCCTTCGGAAAAGGCCCACCCGCCCTGCCTTCCCCGCTTGGGCGCGCCGCCGAGAGACAGTGCCAGCAGGGGGACGCCAGCACGGGGGAGCTCAAGGGCGGGAGAGAGGTGGGAAGGGGAAGGGAAGTGAACGTGGGGAGGGGGAAGCGTGGGGAGGGGGAAGCAGGAGGCAGCGAGGGAGGTGGAGGCGGAAGAGACATTCGCAGAAGGAGGGGGGGGGAGATGGGGATGAGAGAGGACCGCGAGGGCAGTCTAAGGTGCCGGCCACCAAGACCATCTGCCCCACAAGACGGTCGAAGATCGCCATCTGCACGACCCACAGGCACCGTGCCTCCCAGGGATGATGCAAGTCTTTGTGATGTTGAGTGATGGCGGGTTTGGCTCCACATCAGGGCAGGAATCAAGCAACACGATTATCAGTGGGAGCAACACAATGGGCATCTCGGGAGGCCCCTCGGGCCGCACGCTACCACTGTGTTGCCACAAACGAGTGTGCCCTGCAGCGACCGTGAGACCGCTCATCGAAAAGACTGTTACCGACAATGACATTAATGATGATGATGATGATGATGATGATGGTGATGATGATGGTGATGATGATGATGATGATGGCGATGGTGGTGATGATGATGATGACGACGATGGTGATGACGGTGTTGATGATGATGGTGTCGATGATGGTGGTGGTGATAATGATACGATGCTGGTAAAGATGATGAGGAGGAGGAGGAGGAGGAGGGCAATGAAAATAATGGTGATGGTGGTAACCATGATACGATGATGAAGAAGAGAATAATGTTGATGATAATGATGGTGATGATAGTGATATGATGATGATGATGATGATGGTGAAGAGGAGGAGGAGGAGCGACTGTACCTTCCCTCAGTCCCTCAGGCGTCTACGGCCTCAAGGCGTGAAGTGCAGTGGCGAGGCACTCTGTGCCTGTAGTGTACTTCAGCGCGGCGCCAGGCGCGGCGAGTTCGCAAGCTCGAAGCTTGTTGTAAAAGTGGAATGAAAGGGCGGTCCGACGAACGGCCTCGACGAGCGAGTGCTCTGGGATATCGTGCTGCCCAGTTGTCCCTAGGCCGATGCGGGCGAGGGGGCCGGGCGAGAGGAAGGCACGGGGCAGGGCAAGGAAGTGCAGGAGGCGGGGACAGGAGAGGTAATGGCCGAGACGGTCTGGGCAGCCGTCGCATCCGAGCGAGCAGTTCCTGCGCGGGCCGAAGGGGAAGCGGTGGTTTGCCCACCATGCTTCCGCAAGCGTTTTGTAAACTGCCCAGCGGATCGTCGGGGCCTTCTTGGACAGATTTGTGGCAAGCGTCTGCCAACGCTCGTCGAGATTCGCTGGAAGCTGTACTGTGGGCATCGCTGCGTGCAGGCGGCGAGCCAGGGTTTCGGCGAACTTGTCAGGGAAGAGGGAGGCGTGGAGGACAGAGGTGAGAGTCCGCTGAACCCTGGCCTACCGCTGTTCCTGAGCGGCAGACGACAGCTCGTCTTCTGCTGTTCGCTTGGCTTGCTGCCAGATGGGCAGCGGGACTTTATACGGTGGCGTCGCTTCGCCGAGGGCGCGCCAGTATTCTACTATTCCGTTGCTCTTCCAGAAACACAGGAAAGACAGTGGCCCGAATACGGGCCTGGGCCAGGTCCGCCAGGGAAAGTTGTGGATGCCGCTGGTCGCGCGCACGCTGAAGGGCTTGAAAGAGAGGCGGTCAGTGCGGTAGCGTCACTATTGCCGCCCGCCAGGCTGAGGCTAGCGACAGCGTCATTAAAGCTGAGGGGGAGGACGACTGCGACCACGAACGAGTGCCGAGGAGGTCGACGAGGCGCCAGGAGTTGGGGGTGCTCTCAGGACCTTGTGCAACGTGCCACGTTCGTGGCGGAGGAACGTGGCAGGGAGCGGAATGGACTGGGTGAGATAAGAGAGAACGGTTATAACACATGTGTTATAATGTTTGGTTGCGATTGCTGGGTCTGGAGCACTGGCGGCGAGCTGTACAACGCGCAGCCAGTATTTGTCGAGCGCTGTTTTTCATTGGAGATCTAACGTGACGTCGGGGCCTATGAGGACCCTAAGTCGCGCGCGTATCCTGCTATCTGTGCGTGCTGCCATTCGGGAGTGAGAAAGTCGAGAAGACGCTGCGTGAGACTCTGAACATCGGACGAAAGGGGCGCCCACAAGGGCACCATCAATGTCTTCTGGATCTGAAGCTCGAGTCCTGCGAGGTTTCCGATGGCCCGGAAGGGGGGAGGAGGAAGGGGAGGGTCCCCAGGCGAGCGAGGACAAGCCCCAGATCATCTGCGCAGGCTCCGAGCTTGTTGGATACAGGGAGGGTTCTTAAAATGCGAAGTAAATGACGGATGGGGAATGATGATGATGATGATGCTGATGATGATGATGATGAGGAGGAGGAGGAGGAGGAGGAGGAGGAAGGCGGCGATGGTGACGACACCTGCAACGCCTCCCTCAGCGCACCAACTGCGGCAGGCTGCAATCGACTGGGCGCGGACGGGGTAGCATCAGAAGAGCGCGCGTGCACGCTGATGGCACTTGGCGGCGAGGCCGCATGTGCTGACCATGGTCACTAATGCTTGGCTGAAGCAACGAGCGGTCCAAGGGCACGGGGTAAACTCTGCCTGGAGCCACCACGAAGGCAAGTTCAGGAAATGGCATCGCGTCGCTGCAGCCGCCGCTCGGCAGTGGTCCATATCCCGGCCAAGCACCCTAACAGCAGGACGCTGGTATCTCGCAAGCTGCAATGCTGTTGGGTTACCTTCGGATTGAGTTGGTTGAATGTGGGGGACCTGGAACTGTGAGAATCCATCCTCCTGCGCCCCCCCCCCCCCTGCGTCACTCTCCCTCGACCTGGGAGGCATGAAATGGTAAGAAATACTTTGTGGTCGGCGGCTCCAAGACAACAGTCAAGGAGCGGAAGCGGCGTCCGGGATGCGGCACGGTGCGAATTGCGAACACAGCCGCCAATGTCGGCAAGCCAGTTCGCACCTGCAAAGCAAGCGCGCAGTTGCACATGCACAGAACAAAGTGGTAAGAAATACGCGCCCCTGCAACACTTTCTGGCCCTGGGGGGCCTGCGAGGGCGAGAACCCGATGCCCCTGCCACGCTCCCTGGACCTGGGAAACCTGCAATTGCGAGTATCCGACAACGGCTGCCCCCCCTCCTCCTCCTGCCTGGTCAATGCCGCTGGGACAGACAGGACACCCGTTGTCCTGTTGAGCAGGCAGGGAGGCGGCTGCCGCCCAGCTGGGCGGGCTACACATGGCTCGGGCATCCCCCAGAAGAGGGGGCAGGCTGCTGTGAACCGTGCATCTCCCCTCTCTCTTTTCTTCCTTCTCCTTGCCTCTCCTCCTCTGCGGAGCGTGTCGCCTGCTGAGCCGTGGCCCAAAGCGGCGGCGATCGGAGGAGCCCGACCTGGTTGGGGCCTTGGCACTGGGGCGCGGGGCGGGCACGGCGCTCCTGCACCGCTCGACGCTCCAGGGCGTTTGTCCTGGCAGGGGCCAGGGAGGGTGCCCTGCCGGGGGTGTCTGGAGGCACCGTCTTGTCCTGGTCCCGAGCAGCGAGGCCCCTCCCTCGCCCAGCATGTTTGACTCGCCCACGGCTACGCCTGTTGTCCACAAGGAGCGTGGGGCCGCAAGTGGGCTCCGTTCAAGGAGCGTTCCCATGTTGCATCAGCTAAACCTATGCAACCCTCCTCCTCCTCCATCATCGTCATCATTATCACCACCACCATCACCCCCACCATCATCATCTTCAGCATCATCATCAGCATAAACATCAGCATCATCATCATCATCATCATCATCATCATCATCATCATCATCATCATCATCATCATCATCATCAGCAGCATCATCATCACCATAATCAACATCATCTGCATCAGCATCACCATCACCATCATCACCACCATCACCACCACCATCATCATCAACACCACCATCATCATCAGCAAAATCAGCAGCAGCATCGTCATCAGCATGAGGCTCCCAAGATGCTCCCTCCTCCTCCTCCTCCACCTCCTCCGCCTCCTCCTGATCTTCCGCGCCATCCTCCCCCAAGTGTTCCCCGAAGGATTTCCACAACGGTTGGGGGAACACATGGTCCGATAGCTTGGCAGAGCTCTTGCCACAACGCTCGGCCACATGGGCGATTCTAGAAGGCAGGAGGCGGCGGTGATTCGCCGTAGGCGTCTTCGATCCGCCGGCCCCCTGTGGTCTTGCCACAGGGGTGCCTGGCGTGCTGGATCCTTTCGGTTTGGATTCTCTCAAACATTCCCCCTGGGGCTTCGGCCCAGCGCGCGGGCCACACGGAAGGCACGCAAACGACCTCAACGCGTCCGGAAACAATCCTCCAAGACGGCTCAAGATGGCCTCAAAGAGGGTCCAGATGGCCCTAGATGGCTCACAAGTTCGCCTAAGATGGTCCAAGATGGCCTCCAAAACGGCCCAAGAGGGTCCAAGATGGCCCAACACAGCCCCAGAGGCCTTCGAGAGGCTTCCAAGACGGCCCACGAGGCCTCCAAGAGGTGTTCCAGGAAGGCCCGAAGAAGCCAAAATCATTGACTTGCTGAGAGCTTGTTTCAAGGATTTTGGCGTTTCCTCCAATTTCGTGTTCCGACCGCCCAAGAGGCCTCAAGGAGTCCCCAAAATCGTCCCAGAGGCCTCCAAGATGGCCTCAGGACTGCCCAAGAGGACTCAAGCCAGCCCCAAAAGGGCCCCAAGACGGCCCGAGAGGCCTCCAAGATGCCCAAGATGGCCTCCAAGATGGCTCTAAGACGGCCAAGATGACCTCCAAGACGGCCAAGATGGCCGCTCTGACGGCCAAGATAGCCCAAGATGGGCCTGGGAGATCGCCCAAGAGGCTTCCAAGATGGCCCCATGACGGCCCAAGAGGCCCCAAGACGGCCCCATGAGGGCCCCAAGACGGCCCAAGAGGCCTCCAAGACGCCGCAGATGGCCTCCAAGACGGCCCTGAAGCGTCCCAAGACGGCCCCAAGTCGGTTCAGAGAGGCCCCCAAGACGGCTTCCGACTGCGTCAGACAGACCAGGACCGCCCTAAGAGGGCCAGAGAGGCCTTCAAGAAGCCCCCAAAGGCGCCCAAGAGGCCCAAGGAGGCCCCCAAGAGGCCTCCAAGAGGCCTCATGGAAGCTCCCAGGAGGCCCCAACAGTGCCCCAAGAGGCTTCCAAGAGGCCTCCTCCTCCTCCTCCTCCTCCTCCTCCTCGTCTTTCTTGTTCCTCCCTCTCCTCCACTTACTCTTTCTCTCCCCACGTGTTCCCCGAAGGCTTTCCAGACCGACTCGGGGAACACATGGTCCGATAGCTTGGCCAAGCTCTAGCCCAACTTTCGGCCACATAGGCGCTTTCAGAAAGGCAGGAGTGATTCGCCGTAGGGTCTTCGACAATTATCATGAGCAGCAGCCTTACCATCAGCACTAGCATCCGCATCAGTATCAGCCACAACGTCATCAGCAGCACGCTCATCCTCATCAGCAGCATCAGCATCATCGACATCAGCAGCAGCACCACAATCACCATCAGCCTGACCATCATCATCATCATCATCATCATCATCATCATCATCATCATCAGCAGCAGCGTCATCATCAGCAGCATCATCAGCAGTAGCATCATGAACATCATCGCGATCATCATCAGCACCATCGACAGCACCATCATCATCATCATCAGCAGCATCATCATCATCATCGTCATCATCACCGTCATCGTCATCGGCATCACCAGCATCAGAGTCAGCATCATCATCAGCAGCAGCTGCATCATCATCGTCATCAACAGCATCAGGATTGTCGTCAGCATCAGCATCAACATTACCAGCTATCATCAGCGTCATCATCAGCATCGTCATTAGCAGCATCACGGCCGTCATCATCATCAGTTTAATCGTCAACATCAGTAGCATCAGCCTCATCATCAGTAGCACCGTCATCAACATCATGATCATCATTAGCATCAACATGATAATCATCATCAGCATCAGCATCTTCAGCGTCATCATCGTCGTCATCAGTAGTATCATCATCGTCGCAAGCAGCCGCAGTAGCCGAGCCGACTAATCCGCGCCCGAAGAAGCATAACCATCAGCATCTTAATCATCCGTACCATACCCATCATCAGCATCTGCATCACCACCGACAGCATCAGCCTCATATGTACCCACATCATCTACATCATCAGCATCGTCATCACCGTTATCATGGCCACCATCCTCTCATAAGTAAGATTCCTCTTCCTCCTCCTGTTTCTCCTCCTGCTCCTACTCATCCCTCTCCATGCGTAATCCTCCTCTCTCTCTAATCTGGGGAATGGCCAGGGGACCCGAAGTGGGAGGACGAGGAGGATAGACGCAGAAGGCAGAAGAAACGAATGGGGAGAAAGGAAGAAGAAGGAGAGGGAGGGAGGAGCAAGGGGGAAAGGAGGCGAAAGAGGAGGAGGAAGAAGAGGAAAAGGATGCGTCACAAAAGGGAATGGGGAGGCGGTTCAGGATCCATTCCCATGGACGGTACAACACGGCAACTCGCTCGTAAGACCGCCGTACAGCTCAAGCTGAGCGAGGATAACAGGATGAAGGCGAGACGGGTGAACAAGAGGAGGAGGAAGAGGACGACAACGACCACCTACAGGACATTAAGGTGATTAGAGGTGGGAATGGGGAGAAGGACCATGACGAATACGAGGAGAAGGAGGAGGATACTGTAGAAGAGCAAGGGAAAAACGGACACTGAGCAAGAGCGTGAGGAGTTGAAGGATGAGAAGGAGTAGGGGAGTAGGTAAAGGATGAAGAGAAAGCCAAGGAGGACACGGATGAGGAGGGAGAAGGGAGGAGGGATAGGTGGAGCGAGGGAGGTAGAGGATGAAGAGAACGACGACGACAAGCAGAAGGAGGACGAGGGGGTGGAGCCTGCAGAGCACTGGCGTCGCCGCGGTGGGTTGCCTCCTGGCCAGGGAGAAATGGGCATGCTGCTGAACATGATCCAGATGGCTGCACGCGGAGTGACAGAAGTCGTCGTGGTCTTCGCCACCGCAGTCGTTGTCGTCGTCGTCGTCGTCCAGGTTTTAGTATGGGGCTCCAGTTTGGTGCAAGGGACGAGCGAGAGGGTGGCCTGGTCGAGGTGCCTCTCGTCGACCAGCACTCCCCTTCCTCCTCCTCCTCCTCCTCCTCCTCCTCCTCCTCCTCCACCTCCTCCTCCGCCTCCTCCTCCTGCTCCTTCCCCTCCTCCTCCTCCTCCTCCTCCTCCTCCTCCTCCTCCTCCTCGTCATCATCATCATCGTCATCGTCATCGTCATCGTCATCATCACCAGCATCATCAATATCATCGCCGGCAGCACCAACATCATCAGATTCATAATCGTCAGCATCATCATCAACAGCATCATCATCAGCATCATCAGCATCGTCATCATCATCACCACCACCATCATCATCATCATCATCATCATCATCATCATCATCATCATCATCAGCATCATCGTCATCAACATCATCATGATCATCAACATCGCCATTGTCATCATCGACATCATCATGTTCACGATCATCATCATCAGCAGCAGCATCATCATCAGCATCATCAGCATGATCATCATCATCAACAGCATGATCATCATCATCAACAGTATCAGCATCAGCAGTTTTATCTTATTCGTCAACCTCATCCTCCGCATCATCCTCCTCTTCCCCGTCATCTTCCTCATCCTCACCAGCATCGTCATCGCCATCATCATCATCATCATCAGCATCATCATCATCATCATCATCAGCATCATCAACATCAGCATCATCATCATCATCACCATAATCACCGTAATCTTCATCATAGCAATGACAGAAATTAAACATGAAACAAACATACCCTGCGACGTACCCAACCCATGTGCATCACGCGGCAAGTGGAGTAGGCCAACATTAGCAGGAACAGCGACAGCGTAGACGCGGTGAATTGCTGCGCACACTACATGGGATGCGCATGCGTTGCACGGCTCTCAGGGCGACGATCGAAGAACGAGGATTGAGGCCCCAAGCTCGAAGAATAACGGGGACAGGAACCTGCGTATGATGGAATGGAATGGAGGGTAATCTGAATCTGCGTATGATGTCACTCCGCTGGGCCCCCCAGCAGCCCTCGAAAGTGGCGACAGTTTCGCAGATCGCAGCCCCCCAGGGATGGCGAGGTCGAATCTGAATCTGCGTATGACCCCACTCCGCTGGGCCCCCCAGCAGCCCTCGAAAGTGGCGACAGTTTCGCAGATCGCAGCCCCCCAGGGATGGCGAGGTCGAATCTGAATCTGCGTATGACCCCACTCCGCTGGGCCCCCCAGCAGCCCTCGAAAGAGGCGACGGTTTCGCAGATCGCAGCCCCACAGGGATGGCGGGGTCGAATCTGAATCTGCGTATGGCGTCACCCCGCTGGGCCCCACTGGAAGTGGCGACAGTTTCGCAGATCGCAGCCCCCCAGGGATGGCGAGGTCGAATCTGAATCTGCGTATGACCCCACTCCGCCGGGCCCCCCAGCAGCCCTCGAAAGTGGCGACAGTTTCGCAGATCGCAGCCCCCCAGGGATGGCGAGGTCGAATCTGAATCTGCGCATGGCGTCACCCCGCTGGGCCCCCCAGCAGCCCTCGAAAGTGGCGACGGTTTCGCAGATCGCAGCCCCCCAGGGATGGCGAGGTCTAATCTGAATATGCGAATGTCCCCACTCCGCATGGCCCCACAGCAGCCCTCGAAAGTGGTGACCGTTTCGCAGACCGCAGCCCCCCAGGGATGGCGAGGTCGAATCTGAATCTGCGTATGACCCCACTCTGCTGGGCCCCCCAGCAGCCCTCGAAAGTGGCGACAGTTTCGCAGACCGTAGCCCCCCAGGGATGGCAAGGTCTAATCTGAATCTGCGTATGACCACACTCCGCCGGGCCCCCCAGCAGCCCTTGAAAGTGGTGACAGATTCGCAGACCGCAGCCCCCCAGGGATGGCGAGGTCGAATCTGAATCTGCGAATGACCCCACTCCGCCGGGCCCCCCAGCAGCCCTTGAAAGTGGTGAAAGTTTCGCAGACCGCAGCCCCCCAGGGATGGCGAGGTCGAATCTGAATCTGCGTATGACCCCACTCCGCCGGGCCCCCCAGCAGCCCTCGAAAGTGGCGACAGTTTCGCAGATCGCAGCCCCCCAGGGATGGCGAGGTCGAATCTGAATCTGCGTATGACCCCACTCCGCTGGGCCTCCAAGCAGCCCTCGAAAGTGGCGACAGTTTCGCAGATCGCAGCCCCCCATGGATGGTGAGGTAGGAGACAAACTGGCACGCAGGAGCGAGCGAGGTAGGAAGCAGGGGGGAAGAAGAAAGGAGGAGGGGGCGGGAGAGGAGAGGAGAGGAGAGGAGTCGCGACCGCAGCTGCTCTATTCAAAACAAGAACCCAACGCAGGAGGGTTGGGATAAAAGGATGAGAATAGCAATCATAATCAGCATCACCATCAGCAGCAACGTCATCATCATCATCATCATCATCATCATCATCATCATCATCAGCATCATCATCATCATCATCATCATCATCATCAGCATCAGCATCATCAGCATCATCATCATCATCATCATCACCACCACCGAAACCACCACCACCACCATCATCATCAACATCATCATACTCGTCATCAGCATCAGCATCAGCATCATCATCAGCAGCATCATCACCATCATCATCGTCGTGGTCGGCGTCCTCCTTCTCCTCCTTGCCATCATCAACATCACCACCACCATCACAATCATCATCATCAGCATCATGATACTCAACATCGTCATCACCAGCATGAGCATTATCATCATCAGAACCAGCATCACCAGCATCACCACCATCAGAATCAGCATCATCATAAGCATCATCATCAGCAGCAGCATTTCCATAATCAGCATTATCATCATCAGAACCAGCATCACCAGCATCATCACCATCATAATCAGAATCAGCATCAGCAGCATCAGCATCGAGATTCGCATCAACATCAGCATCACCATCACGATCACCATCATCCACGTCCGCAGCGCCACCATCACAGTCATCAGCATCATCATCATCATCATCATCATCATCAGCAGCATCACCATCATCATCATCATCATCATCATCATCATCATCATCATCATCATCATCATCATCAACAACAACATCATCATAATCGTCAGTAGTTGCATCATCCTCATCATTATGGTCATCGTCATTACCATCATCATTATCGGCATCATCATCAGCATCATCCTCAGCAGCATCAGCATTGTCGTCACCAGCATCAGCAACAGCATCAGCATCAGCAACAGCATCAGCATCAACATCAGCATCATCATCGCCATCATCAGCATCAGCATCATCATCATCAGCATCATCATCGCCATCAGCATCACTATAATCAGCAGCATCATCAGCATCATCATCATCCTCACAATCATCACAATCATCATCATCACCATCATCATCAACAGCACCATCATCATCGCCACCACCACCACCACCACACCACCACCACCACCACCAACACCACCGTCACCATCATCATCATCATCATCATCATCATCATCATCATCATCTTCATCATCTTCATCATCATCATCATCTTCATCATCATCTTCATCATCATCATCATCAGCATCAGCATCAGCATCATCATCATCATCATCATCATCATCATCATCATCATCATCATCATCATCATCATCATCATCATCATCATCATCGGTATCAGCATCAGCGGCAGCAGCAGCATCATCAACATCGCCATGGTCCTCGTCCGCGTGCTCATCCTCACCATCCCCCCGCTCCTAGCCATGCAGACCGCGAGCCTTGCCACCTGAAAAAGTTACAGGCAGCAGGGCCCGCGGTCACAGAGCCCGGAAAAGAAGGAGGCCCTCGGAGGCACGCAGACGGGGCCAGGGCCAGGCCTCTGAGAACTTCCCAGCCCCCTAACAATGGCTCAGGGCTACGTTGGCCCCCACCTCAAAAGAACAGCAAAAGATCGATGCTTGAACCTGGAAAACGCACGGACATGGACGGCGAATCCACTACTCACAACAGAAAATCCTCCGCGGAAACGCCGCCGGGAGCGCCGCGGAAGCGCCCTCATGTTCTTGCAGAATGCTTTTCTGTAGTGTTTACGTCGTCTTTTCACGTTGTGCATATTTCACGCTTAAGCTTGTTCACTTCATCATTCAAGCTGTCACTTCGCCACTATGCACAACCAGCCGTCCACGAAAATGGACGGCGATTCCACCTGCTTTGAGCAGGGACCACCGTCCCGGCACTCCTATAGTCTTACCACGGCATGTTCTTAGAACCCAAACATGTTGAAATAACAAAACCACTGTTTCTTAGAACATAAACCCGATGTGTTGAAACAAGACAATATCAACCAGAAATGTTGTAAGAAAAACTCATGGAAACCAGAAAAGGTTCTTAGAACATTGTTTGGTAGGGCTATAGCTATAGGCGAGCCAGGACGCTTTTGCCACTGCTTGAACTGCCGTAAACGACCCGCGGGCACGGTCTGCTGAGGGCCCGGCTCTGCCCGAGAAGCCCCCCCCTGGCCCTCCGCAGGGGGGCCGCCTCCGTCGCTCTGCCCCCGAAGGAGGCCCGCCCGGCACCCGACCAGCCCGGACCCCTCCTGGCTTTGAGCTGGGCATGCCCATCTACAGAAGGAATGTTCAAAATAATCACACAGCAAAAAAAACTCGGGCTGGTCGAAAGGGGGGGATAGCAAAGGGGGAGTTTGAGAATCAGCTCGCGTAGCTGATTTTCCCGGCGCCTCCCGGCGCCGGGCGGCGCCCATGCATCGAGGAATGGGCCCGGCGGCGGGGCCGAAACCAGCTGCACGCAGCAGATTTCGTAACCCTCTTTTCCCCAATGCCCCCCCCTTTCGTCCGGCCCGAAAAACCTGGGGACGATTTGCCTGGCATGATCCTACTATTCTTGGATAGTGGTTGACCATCTCTTGCTTTTCTTCCAA